TCTTCCCCCCCCCCCAGGATTCTTTGACAAATAGAAGCTTCAAAATAACAGCATTTATTTGAAATGTCTTTGTCACTTTTGATCAATTTAATATGTCCTTGCTGAATAAAAAAATATTAATTTCTTATTAAGTCCAAACTTTTGAAAGATAGGTCATGTATAAATTAAGTACATAAACTAAGTACTATAGGTGACATTTCAAACAAATCTACATGTATGCTGTCTGTAAGGCCCATACAACATTACAAAAACTTAAACTCAAGATTAAACTCAATTCTGGGTACAAATTTGTCCCAAAAATACGGTTAAGTAGGCACACACACACGTTACTCTGCTAATCTACATCACTCAAAATGACACACAGCACAGATGTTATTTGAGGTGAAAGCCCTGAGTTGGAGGAAACATTGCTTATCATGGCACACTATGGCCCCATTTAAACCTGGTCTTGATTTTATTACTGCAAGTAGACAAAGCATTTTTTAAAGCACACTTTTGCTTTCAAACATACTTATACATGTTCAAATATCACCGCAACTGTGATGTTTTGAGCAAGGTTTTTTTTTTCCCTTCTTTTTTTTTTCAGTTCAGCCACCTATAGTAACCTATGGTTCTGATTCCTCTGAATGTGGTTTCAGTGTTCAGATCATACAACATTTTGGAACTAATTTCCTAATCCCTGCTGTAATCGGATCACTAAATGTTAATAACAGGTGCAAACGGGGCATATATGTTTACATTTGCCTCTTTCGATACACTATGTGTGTGAGTAAGAGATCACAGACCCTATCCAATAGAAGCTTGACTCACACCTGGAGGTCTGGATAATCTCAACGGGTTGATGGTTTGGCCTCCACTGAAGCTTGCAGGATTTTAGAGACTTTCCACCCCCACACTTGGACCCCCCCTCACTCACAAAAAAAAAGGAGTCTCTGTGTTATAGCCCACCATGTGCTGTGAAGATTATCTCTTAGTCTAACTCAGGATGGAAGCTTGCCATGCCATCTGCTCTGAGGATGATCAGACTCAGGGATTCATGCCAATGCCTGACCGGCAGTAAATTAAGGTAAAGTGTTTGTGATGAGGAAACCCAGAAACACAAATTACCACACTCTGTATTGCCCAGCATGTTTTTAGCCACACCATTAGTGTGTTCAATGGCTTTGCATATGTAGGTTGTAAGTAAATGGAAAACCGGACCGGGATTAGAGTCTCAGTTAATGGTCCAATTACAGAAGATAATGGTGCCTTGTTTAACTGCTTACTAGGTTGTGGGTATAGATATTTAGTGTTTGTGCGTGCTGTTTAATTGTGTTGAATCTTGATCTAAACTGCCCAGAGTCAGCATACTTTTACTCCACTAAGCATAGATGGCTTTAAACCCTGTTTTGCTGTTTACACACTGAATATTAATCTGTGTTCACCTCAAGCACTTCTTTTTATGTTTGCTAGCTCCAGCTGAATTTGTTTGCGGTTGAGTTCTGTGAGATTCTTGGACCACATCCTTGGGTGTTTCTTAAAAAAAATGCAATGATACATTGAATGTGCTGCTCTTAAGATGACATGTTGAAATCGATGAGGAAATGTAAATATGTGCATTTCGTATATATATATATATATATATATATATACAGTGGGTAAGGAAAGTATTCAGACCCCCTTAAAATTTTCACTCTTTGTTATATTGCAGCCATTTGCTAAAATAATTTAAGTTAATTTTTTTTCCTCATTAATGTACACACAGCACCCCATATTGACAGAAAAACACAGAATCGTTGACATTTTTGCAGATTTATTAAAAAAGAAAAACTGAAATATCACATGGTCCTAAGTATTCAGACCCTTTGCTCAGTATTTAGTAGAAGCACCCTTTTGATCTAATACAGCCATGAGTCTTTTTGGTATATATAAATTCAATTTTTTTTTTATTATATTCAATTATGGCATATATAATATGTATAATGTATAATAAACATCAAATATGGATGCATAAAGATATACTGATTGCAAAATGACTGAAGGAGAAGCATCCAAAGATGTGTTACCACTGTATAATGTATAATAAACATTAAATACGGATGCAGAAAGATATACTGATTGTGGAAGTTTAGAAACTACTCGCCGCTGGAATCTTGTCGTGTTTTGCCCAATTAAGATGCGTTGTGACTGTAGATACCTATATGTAGCCTGAAAGTTCAGTAATATGTCCTTGTATTGAATAAACAAGCACTCCACAGATAAAAGATCTGTAAAACATTATAAATGACAGATATTACTTAGTTCAACCAATAGCTTTGTGGATAAGCAAAACAACTGAACAACTGTAATCTAAGAAATCTTTCAAATTAAAAATGAATGTATGCACCACAAAAACCTAAACCTACCACCCCCATAAAGACTTGTATAAATACATCAAAAATCTTTTAAACCGAGTCAAACCACATCCAGGGATTCACACATCAAAAGTTATTATTTGATTAACAGATAGTATATTTTTGTTAAAAATTAGTCATACACAGTTGGAAAATTGAATTAGCGAGAAGATTTTGAGAATACACCAACGTTCTACATTCACAAGCAAGGTGAAAACAAGTGAATGTCACAAAAATCCTCCAGCTTGTTCATTGAAAATCTCTATTTCCTAAGGGTAACGCAGCAAAGCTGACTACGCTGACTATGTTTAGCACTGGTGGGACCCGAATTAATCCAGCAATTTAAAAGGGGAGGAGAGCCAATCTCTGGGAGGGATGTAACGGCGGACGAGCAGCTTCTGACACCCACAGGCACGCTGTACAGAAAGCATCAGTCCTGAGCACATATGAGCATTACAGCAGCCAGCCTCTCTCTCTCTCTCTCTCTCACTTCTCTGTCCCTTTGACACTGCAGGGGTAAATACTGAATTCAGCAAGCGCTTTGCTCTCCCCCTCATTCTGTTTTCACAGAGCTCTGCACAATGTTCAGATGAGAGCGGGAGAGACAGTGTGTTAGAGAGAGAGGGGGCAAGTTAAAGAGAGCCAAAGAGAGAGTGAGAGGGTGAGCACATTATAGAGAATGATTGAGGAGAAGACCGGAAAGAGAGCATGTGTGTGAGACCGAAGAGTTTATTACGATAGCGACTGGAGGTCTGGATTATGCCGCTTTAATCCTCAAGAGACTTTGTGGGACGTTTGGAAGGTATGTGCTAATTTTTGTATAAACAACCTGTTTTAAAGTGACCACAAACAGAATTTCTTCCAGATTAAATGTAGAGTGGAATCAAACTAGCTGAAAAAAAAAATAATAATTTGCCCGATGAAGAGCTTCTGCAGTTGTGTCATAGTCATGCAGATGTTGTTTCTTACATGGGTACTGAAATGTGAGTAAATCACTCTGGAGTGAGGCACATCCTGTAAAAGACAAGCGTTCATGTAGACACGCGTAATGTGCAAGTGTGTTATTGAGATCTAACTGAAGCATGTGATGGGCAGTTTGCGGCTGTTAAGCAGATGCTGGGGTCAGTTCTTGGTGATGCACTGGTGATAAGTAAAATATTTATCTTAAGTGAGTGCTGTAATGAATAAGAAATTAATTCTTCTGATATTCAAGTCAATATAAGGCTTTCTGTATTTTGTAAAGGGAGAGTTTACTAAAAAATTAAAATTCTGACATAATTTACTCTCCCTCATGTCGTTCCAAACCTGAATGACTTACTTTCTTCTGTGAAAAAAAAAAAAGAAGATATTTTGAAAAATGTTTCAGTGCTTTTTTTGTTCATACAACCAAAACCAATTGGGTCCCCAATGACATTTAATCATTAATCTGTTAATCTGTGTGATTAACATAAGAAAGGAAGTCATACAGGTTTGGAATGGCATGAGGAAGAGTAAATTATTTTTCATTTTGAGGTGAAATATCCCTTTAAGATTTCGCACACATTGCGTATGGTTCAAAGATGTTCTTCATGAATTTTAACATCAGGTATTTTATCTTCAGAGCGACTGGGATGGAAAGCAAATTCGGAATAAAAATGTCAGACAAATACACAATTTACTATCATACTGTCAGTACAGAACCTTGTTTCAGGTATCAAACGAAGAAGTTCACTATAATGACACTGCACATGGGGAGAAATACTCTGCAGACAGACCCTCTGAATAAACTAAATCTGGCTGAAATCTTCAGTCATTTCCTGTAAACTACAGTTAGAATGACAATGTTCTACCCAAGCATCAGTGTATCTGAGTTGCTTCATGCCACTGTATATAACAATGATGGATGAATCTTGAAAATGTTCCCAATGATGGTCTAGACTGTTTTGTGTCTGCTTTTTTGTATTCTTGCATGTATGTGTAATTATCCCATTGTTTGCGTATTAAACACAGTGTAATGTACACATTTGCATTTGACAAAGGAATCCATTCAATATTCATTCGCCACCAAATTAACACACAATAACATTTGTTCTCCATTTCCCAATGGCACAGCTTTCAACATCTCACCTCTGCTGATAATAGTCCACATGGAAAGCCATTGTTCGTGGTCTTAACGTCAGCTGTGTGTGTTCAGACCTTCAAACGCCAGTACATCAGAGTCTAGGTTGTTCTCTTGGGCTTCATCTGGAAGGGCCAACAACTCTGTGAATATGAGATTAGACACAGTGTTTCATTGGATCTAAGACTCAGAGGACAACAGCACAATTAAACACATCTCTTTATTTACCACAGCCTACATTAATGTGGTGGCTAAATACACAATGAAACAAAAGCTGTAGAGCTGGAGAAAAGAGAGATATTTTATATATATATTTTTTTTCTCCTTATAATAGCTTATAATTTACAATATTTTATTTGAATTATTTTAAATGGCATCTTTCATAGACACAAGAATAGATTTGTACATGCAATACATAAATAATTGAATAATTCAATATGTACATTTTCTTTCTTTTAAGTCGTAAAGGGATAGTTCACCCCAGTTTTTAATGACATGATGGTGAGTAAATTTTGTGTGTGTGTGTGTGTGAACACACACACACACACACACACACACTTGTGTTATCAGAACAAGCACTTTATTTAAAAACACACACATACTGACGTGTATGTGGCAGAAATTGATCTGGTGAAACAATAAGCAAAAGCCAAATTTATATAATATTTTGTACTTTTAATTGCAATTTAGTTACCGCAACTACACATGTAGACATCATAGTTTTGTGTGTGTGTTCCTGAATTTGATGACCACATAAAAAATCAGAGATTCAGAATTTAATTTAAACCTGAATATTAAAAATGAAAAAGGCAAATTTGTGATATTGATCTTGTGAACCCCTTTGTACAGACAGTACAGATGTTGAAGTTCCATTGAAGCTTTTTGATGCTCTTTGGATCATCTCAAATCTGTCTAGAAAACATGATCATCAGGTTTCAACTCGTGGTGTTCATGCGGCTCAAATGATGCTGTCAGTAAAGCAAAAGAGGAGAATACCAAATACTTAGACATGATGAAATTCAGGTTATTTTGTATGTATCTGTACACCACATGCCTTCTGTAGCTGTATGAAAGTCACATTATGTGTGAACAGCTTTGAAGTTATTCACTTCATGTAAATTCCCTTTCAAGATTTAGATTAAGAAGGACAACATATAGGTCTACACATCTTTGTGTACAGCAACACAGAGGGGGAAAAATGCTTTCATCTACTACAAAACAATAAATAAACAAACAAAAAATACTGTATAGAATCACATAAATGATTATCCAAACACTGCAGCAGCTAGAAGCTCAGTTAAATTAAAATAATTGTTATAATAATTGTATAATTGAGTGTGGGTGCTGAAAATCATTCAGCCTTGAGGAGGAAAACATACACTCTTTTGGGCAGCACATGATATCAGAGAGAAAAAATAAAGAGCAGTGAGAAGCATTTTTTATGGGAAACGTAGTATTTCCAGTGTGTGTGTGTGTGTGTGTGTATATATATTTTTATTTATTTATATTGTGATATTCACAAAAACATTTCTAAATAGGATGGCCGTTATGAATAGATGACAGGCACAATTAAAGGGGTCATATGATGCGAGTGTTACAAGCTCTTGGTGCATAAAGAAGATCTGTAAAGTTGCAAAGACTAAAGTCTCAAATCCAAAGAGATATTCTTTATAATAGTTAAGAGTCAACAACGCCCTCCTAAAATTTCTCATTCTAACACGCCCCCACG